TCATATGACCAAGACTCATTGCAAGAGAGACTGGGAAATGTGTTCCCAGTAAGAAGGGAAAAATGGATTGTAATAGACAACTGGCAGCTTTCACCCCATGAACAAGCTCCCAATTTTCCAAAAGGGAAGAACAATATTCTTCAGGCCTCAATTAGTTTTTTCTATGCTGGACTGTCTTGCATTTGTCCTGTGTGTATGTGCACTCTCACTGTGGGCTGATAGGCTTTGAGCAAGAGGGTTATTTACTAATTCTTGAACCCTTGCCTGATACCAAGTTAAGGTATAGCCGAATGTGCTTCAGGGAGCTGAGTAAAGCAGGAAGGAAGTGAACTGAAGGGTTCTGTTCCTTTCCCCAATGTGTTTGTCTCACAGTGGGGAGCTGAAACTAAAGTCTTAAATCTTTCTTTTCCTGGAAAATCCTCCCAAGCCAGATGTGCCCTTCCCCACCTACTTCCATTACCCAACAATCTTTTGTCTTCCCTCCTCCCTCACAGACTCCAACAGTGTTGACTGGCTATGACAGTATGTAATTGAACACAGAGCACTTTCCCTCCACTGTGATTAGTCAAACTTTGCCCCATATGCAGTTGAATCACCCTTAAAAAGATGCAGCTAAGGTCTCCAGGCTACAAATTCCTCCTGAGGTGTTGAGTGGTATGTGCTTGGGTGTTCCTCTATGGTGACACCAATGCCAGTTCTATTAACTGAGTACTTCCTTTCTTCTCACTTTCTTACTCCCTCTCCCCTTCTCCTCTTTCATGACTTTGACACTGCCATTTTTCTTTACTTCAGGCCCACCATGGCATGTGAGCCAAATCCATACTGTCAACAGGTTCCCTGGAATGGCGTCCTATGTTTAGTTTGTAACCAGACCCAGGGGGCGTCTACATGGCAGTCAATAGCTGATTAGGTTAACAGAGAATTTTCTCTTCAAGAGAAAGAGCTAGAGTTTAATTAATCTCAGGGCAAAATGGCTCATCTCAAAATAAATTATATTCTGTAGCTGCTAGAACAGCTGTTGAACAAAACACATCTTTAGCAAGTGAGAAGAAGAATGACAACCTGCAGATCTTAAATCAGAAAATAATTAAAAAAAACCAAACAGGTGTGGTAGATTATATGAATGATGGGCCCCGATACTTCCTCTGTCTGTGGCATTACAGACCTTCCCATTAAAACTTGAATCTATTTCTTCACTCCTTGAGTCTAGTCTGGCCATGTGACCTACTTTGGCCAATATGACACTAGCAACTATGAAGCAAGCAGAGGCTTGGAAGATGCTTGTGCATTGGGGCTTGCTCTCTTGTGGTGCCTGTGACTATGAGACACATGATTTCCTGCTGGATGATGAGAGACGTGTAGTTGCCCCCATTGCCCCAGCCAGTAACTTGCCAACTATACACATGAGTGTGGTCATCATAGGTCACCCAGCCTCTAAATTACTCATTATGTGACTGCAGGCAAATGAGAAATCTCAGCCCAGACCAAAAGAATTACCTGGGCAAACCTCAGAATCATGATCTAAATAAATAGTGGTTGTTTTAAGCCACTAAGATTTTAGGGTAGTTTATTAGGTAGCGAAAACTAACCCATACAACAAAGTAGGTGGTACTTGTATGTGTTAATGTATGTGTGTGTGTGTTTGTACCGTGTGTATCTGTTACATCTTCTCCCCACATCCATAACAGATGCTCCTAATATACTCTGAAATCAATACAGTCCAGGTAAGGCCTCTACTTGGACACGCTGTGGGAATTTCAAGCTCCATAAAGAAACATGTAGAGAAGGTGTAAATGACCAGTCTCATCTTTCCTTTTTCATTCCCCTCCTGCCCCAGCCTCCTGAACCTGGATCCTGGCCAGGTAGAAACCTGACCAGTTTAAAAGAAGGAGGTATCTATAATAGGCTACACAACTCATTTGCCTAGGGACACTACTTCTCTCTGGCAGCCCCAGCAAGAAGAATGAAGGACGGTATGTGTGCATACCTAAGTTCTTCTGATTATAAGGAAATAGATAAGAAAATTGGTGCTTTTCTCCTTCTTGTAAAGGGGTTTTAGATGCCAGAATCTCCCTACCTCTCTACCACACCTCACACCCCACAAGTGTTGTTCATTGCTGATGTCTTTTCTAATACAAGTTCCCTAGGAGTGTTCTTAAATATCAGACATAGATAATGGTTCCTAAAACTGCAGGTGTGGCATTTCTCAAGGAGTCTTTTTGGTTAGACAAAGCCCGAATGAGATTCTGTATTTAATATTATTAGTTTCCTACATTTAAGTAAGCATAGTTGGCACAAATATTGTGTGTGTTATATCAAATATGTTGGTTTTATTGTGGAAGAGACTATAGTAAATCTGGTTCGTATGAGTCTAAAGTGGCTGGCAATAGGAATCTTTTCCTTCACAATTTCCTGTGTCCTGCTTCTTTCTTTTTCCTTGATTTATGCACACGTTTCAGCTGTGAAAATCAGTTTTCTTAAAAAAAAAAAACAAAAAAACAGCTTTATTGAGGCATAATTTATACAAGTCATCTGTTTAAAGTAAATAAGTCAATTATGTTTAGTAAGCATATAGAGCTGTGCAGTCATCACTATGATCCATTTTTAGGATATTTCTATCTTCCCCAAAGATCACGCATGCCCATTTGCAGTCAGTCCTCATTCCCACCCTCATTCTAAGGCAACCACTAATCTACTTTTTGTCTCTACAGATTTGCTTGTTATGGACATTTTATATTAATGGAATTATAGATTATTTGGTAGAGCTATTTTTTAAATAAAAACTTAGGAGCTTTCTAAAGACATAAAAATGTTTACAAAATCTAGTCTTTCTTTGAAAAGTTGATCCATGAATATGAACAAGATATTCTAACTTGGTTTGGGTTCCCTCAAATCAGATGCCAAGGCAAGGACTTGGGGCAGGTAGTTTATTTGGGAGAGTATCACAGGAAGCAGAAGTGAGGGAGTGAAGAGCATGAGATACAGAAGGAGAAATATAATAAATAAATGAATAGCAAGCATGCATTGAGAAGATTACCAGTTGTGGACAACTGGGGCTCAATTCCACTGAGGATTGCCAGAGGAACCATGTGAAATGTGCTCCTAGGGAAGCTGGGGTATTTATTTACCATATTAGTTACCTACTGCAATGTAACATGTTTCCCTAAATTAACAATTTAAAGCAATGATTAACATTTATTGACTCTCACAGTTTTAAGGGTCAGGAAATTTAGTTGGCTTAGCTGGGTGTCTGGCTTGGGGTCTCTCATAAGGTTGGAGTAAAGATGTTGGCTAGGCTGCAGCTATCTGAAGGCTTCACCGGGGCTGGAGGATCCCCTTCTAAGATGCCTCCCTCACATGGCTGACAACTCAGTGCTAGATGTTGGCAGGAGGCCTAAGTTCCACACCACATGGTCCTGCCCATAAGGCTACTTGAGTGTCCTCACAACATGGCAGCTGGCTTTCCCCAGAGTGAGTGATCCAAATGAGAACAAGGTAAAAGCAGCAATGCCTTTTATAATATAGCCTGAAAAGTCACACACCATCATTTCCACTATATTATATTGGTAACAGAGATCAGTCATATTCATTGTGGGAACTACACAAGGGCATGAATACCAGGAGGCGAGAATCATTGGGTCTATCTTGGATCTTGGCTACCACATTCATTGTCTCCTGTCCCTCTTTGGTTGAAGGCTGTCTTGTGTGAGTTGGGCAAGCTTAAGGAGGGGCTGGTTAAGCCTCAGGCAGAGGATTTGTAGGTCTTTGCAGTGGCCAACCTGCTAGGCAGTATCTACCGTGGCTGTAGGTAAATTCAGAGGTGGACCTACAGGCTATGGGATGGAGCCTTTCTAGCATCTTCCACTGCCCCAAGGCTATGCTTAATGGTACAGTTTTTCAGATCCACCCTTGATAATGAAAAGAGAAATAATCTACACCTCAGACTTAAAAGTAGAACAAAATGATAGGTTGTTGATATTATATTGATACCTTTGGTAGGCCCTCTAAGTGACCACTGTATCACTGAGCTTTGGGCTTTTGGAAGCCCATCATCCATGAAGAAGGAGCTTCTAGTACAACAAAGCCAGCTTACTCCTCACATAGCTAAAGAGTATAAAATCACAGACCAGCCCTGGGCAGAGGCCCAGCCACATTCTTGAAATATGGGAAGGGAGCTGGACTCAAAGACAGGAGTAAAGATTTAGAGCAACCATGTGGGGAAGGTTCTTCTCAAGGTAACCTGAAGTAGGAGGAAATGATGAAAGATCAATGGCCAGTGACACTGCTGAGTGCTGGGTTGAAAGCACTGATACTGATGAGCTCCATCACTCATGTCACCTAATCTGCTGCCCTTTGAATAAACTACAGCAAGAGGAGAATGGGAAAAGGTAGGAACAGAGTAACAAAGGAAGAGGAGGGGAAATGGACCTATAAAGTTACATCCCTTGCTTCATGGCCAAAGCTAGAGGACCATGTGACCTGGCTGGCCCAGGACAACCCTAGCTTAACCTGCTGTTCTGGAATAGTTGTTAATAGCACTTCCTTTTACTCTCAAAAGCATCCAGGTTTGGATGGCAAATTACATGGTCATCTTACCCAAAGCACATTGTACTGTCCCATGCATAACCTTTCTCATACTTAATTGTAAGTGTTTAATGTTTATGTTGTGTGCTCAACTATAATTTCAAATAGGGACCATGTCTGACTTTTACATTGGCATTGAAGTATTGGCATTTGTGAAGTGCTCAATATATGCTGTCTTACTGAAAGAATGAATGAATGAACGAATGAATGAGTTAATGAATGCATCAATGAATGAATACATGAGCTCTGTTTAAAAAGATTTGGTATGGTTGGAATGACTGTAGGGGAAGGTAGGGGTAGGTCCTTAGTCTATAATTCCAAAGGAAGCCATAGGAGGCATGTTAAAACAAACAAACAAACAAACAAACAAACAAACCCAGGTTAAAGCTCTATTAAAATATATTCCCTTCATTTAGTTCCAGCAGCTCTGGGACCAGATGGTGTATGTCCACAAACAGAGCTGCTGCTGCTGCTGCTGCTGCTACTGCTGCTGCTGCTGCTGCTGCTGCTGCTACAAGTATGGATTGTCAAATGTTCAGAAAAGCCCCAAGTGGGAATCAACAGACTTTGCATCTCTGCTCTCCAAGGGTCTGCTCTGTCAGCAAGTGGTCTGAAAACCTGGAAATTATGTTATCAGCGGCATGGTACATTTTCTTTATTATTTCCTTTTTAGGGAGAGGGAGCCAAGCATTTTGCCACCAAACAAGGACCATTTATGGACTACTCAGTTGAATTTGCTGTGAGCTGCTGGGGCTGCCATGTGATCCTAAGCATAAACCTTAGCACATCTCATAGAGCCAAGAGTACAGCCTCAGCATTTGGGAGAGAAAAAAAAAATTAAAACCAAAAGCTGAAGCCAGAGTTCTGCACACACTGCTGTATGGCAGCTGATTTCGAAGGGAAACTTCAATATCTCCAGTGATGGGGTTTGATTTATCCTCCCCAGCCTGTGCCAAGACGCTAACACCTCCTTTGCACTTGGGTCTTAAATTCCCCCAAGGAAGTGTCTATTATTGTTTTCCTTGTAGATTTTAGAAATAGAGTAAGCACCCTTCTTAAGGAATAAGGCATTGAGTCATAGTATCTGGCTTCTCTTTGTTGCTCTTCCATTAGGTTATTGTAGAGCTGCTTAACTTTTTTTGTATCTCTTTTTCCTCTAAGATGAGAATAACTATGCTCACCATATCATTATAATGCTAATGCCCTGTACAATATTATTATGAATATTTACATTCTCCCTTTTCAGTCCTTTCCAAACACAATTCTAAAGCACACCCCTTTAAAAATTTTCCACAAAAATACCCCACTTCTCAGCAAACTGTTCAACATTTATCTAGTACCTATTAGAATACATGCAATTATATTATAGTAATAGCAGGCTAAGGCAGTAGATGATAAGTAGTGATGTTAAAGTTGAAAGATAGAGGATGGATAGAATTAAAGTAGACAGGCAGGAGAGACAGCGAGCTGTTCAGGCAGGGGAACAACATTAGCAAAGTCATAGACCAGGGATTGGCAAACTATGACCCTTGAGCCAAATCTGGCCTGCTGTGTTTTTGTAAATAAAGTTTTATTGGCCTACAGCCATGCTTCTTCATTTGTGCATTGTCTATGGCTGCTTTCATGCTAGAACAGTGGAGTTAAGAAATTGTGAACAGAGATGGCATGGCCCGTAAAGATTAAAATATTTATTATCTGTACCTTTATAGAAAATGTTTGCTGAGTCTTGGCATAGACAATAGTGGAAATGGGGGTGATTTTTCCTTCTTGGAATGGGTATTCAGAAAATGTGAGCTTAAACATAAGGGATAGAGCTTCAAAGCCATTTTAATAGGAAATAGGGAGAAGGCTCATGGGGAGTGGAAATGTCTTTCTCATCCTGCAGCAAACTCAGTCTCAGACCCACATACTGAGAATCTGGAGGAATGGAAACTGCTTAAATGTACTGAATATATCTGTCTTTTCATCAATTCATCTTTTTGTTTAGTATATATTTATTTCTTTTTACAGAATCATTTTGTTACTCAAATAAAAGAGACAATTATAGGGAAAAATATTTAAAAAATATTGATGAGCCCCCCCCCCCCAAAAAAAAGACGACCACCCATAATCCCACCAACCATAGCTAACCACTGTTACATTGTGGTATGTGTCTTTCTTATCTTTTTGCCTACATGGAAAAGGAAGTTTTTACTGAGTACCTACTACATACCAGGCAGTATACTTAGGACTGTGAAAGCTTGGTCTTGATCTTAAGGATAGAGGGCAATGACCCAAATCATTACAATTTGGGGTGAGAACTGCAATAATAGCTGCCTGAAGAGATACAAGAAAAGCAGGGAAAAAGAAGTGAGCACCTCTTCCTGACCTGTTATATTCAAGGTAAGCTTTAAAAAATGCCTGAGAGTCTACCAGATGAGCAAGAACATTCCAGACAGAAGGGAAAGTAATTGGTGTTTCCCATGTAACTATTAGGTACCTTGGGGTTTTATTGAAAACATCTCATGTAATCATCAAAACAATTCTAGGAGGTAGATATTATTCCCATTTTTTTAGGTGAGGAAATTGAGACTCTGAAAGGTTAAGGTATTTGCCAAGCTATGCATTCAGATAGCTTGAGGTGGAGCCAGGATTTAAACTCAAGTGTATTGCCCATGCTGTCCCCCCTTTATCATGCAGCCTCTGCAGGATAAGCAAAGTCATGGTGGTCACCTGTATTAATTTTATTTAAAAAATATTTATTAAGCATCTACTATATACCAGATAAAGAATACATTGACTGTGTCTTTAAGGAGTCCTGAACAATCTCTCATCGTGTGTGTGTGTGTGTGTGTGTGTGTGTGTGTGTGTGTGTGTGTGTGTGTTGGGGGAGTCTGTATGCAAAGTCAGGTTATGCTTTGGCTTCACACAGAACTTGAAACTGATCTAGACCCCAAACTTATATATTGAATTTCTTCCCTCCTTGTTAGGACTCTTGGCCCCTGGAGGATGTGGACCAATCATTTTGCATTGTTTGCCCCCTAGAGAGGCCATAATGATTGGGTGAATTTAGTTCACCCAAGATGGAGGTTGCCAATCTTTCATTAAGTCAGTCAACCAATTACCAGTGCTCTGGTGGGATTGGACTGTATGCATGGGACAGAGAAGGAGGCAGTAAAGTAACATCCCTCGGTATTGCCACCCTCAAGAGAAATGGCTGTGTAATTGTGGACAGAAGACAGGGGCCTGGCTTGACAATCAGTGCTGTAGAATTCTAGGGAAGGGGCCTCATGGTGGGCTGAAGGGATTAGTACAGGCTTCCTGGAGCAGCCACATCTCCAATATTTCTTATCATGACTTGCTGAATAGCAAGCAAGTCTTCATGAACACCAAGAGAGGTTAAAAATTCCCCTTTACAACTCAGGAGGTGCTTTAACTTCCAAATTCCAATGGGAGGTGTGTGTGAGGATTGGAGGGTGGGTATGTGTCTCACTCTCCCTTTCCCTGGAACACACACAAAGCCACCCACAGAGTTAGTGAGTTGTGCTATGAAATATGGCATGACCATAAATGAAATTACAAAGGAATCACTTCCAGAGGCTTCACCTTAAAACCTTAACTTCTACATTGTGAGCACACCATTTATTACCACCACTGCTGGGAAAGGGGGCTGTTAGTATAATGCAGAGAAGAGAAGACAGGCCATCTAAGGAACAGAAAATAGGATTTATTGTGGGAATACAGCCTTGGGCAAATTGCCTCTTGTTAAATGTATGTGTTGGGCCCAATGTCAAAGCAGTGCACTCCAGGCAAACACAATGGTCTTACTGGAAAATTTTCTTCACTGTTCTGTGCCTCTGTTTCTCTCTTTGTATGATGGCATGCTAAGTGGTCTGTTAAGAAAGGATTGGTAAGTGGAAAGATACTTTATTTTCTTTTAAGTTCCTTGGTCTAACTATCCTTTTACCAGCTTGCTCATGACTTCTTCATTCAGATGACCTCCAAAATGATAATGATGCTCATGACAACCTCACAGCTATTCCACAGCCCTCACCTACTGATGACTCTGTGGCAGCCACCCAAAGGATGCTTCTTTATTTTTTCTTTTTAACATTTATGAAATCTATTGGGAAGATATTGGTTAATAAAATTATATAGGTTTCAAGGGTGCAATTTTCTAATACATCGTCTGTGTATTGTATTGTGTGTTCACCATCGACAGTAAAATCTCCGTCACCATTTATTGCCCTTTACCCTTTTCTGACTCCCCCTATCCCTTTTCTCCTCTGGTAATCACCATACTGTTGTCTGTGTCGATGAGTTTTTATCCTTTTTGGCTTAATCCTTTCACCTTTTTTACCCAGACCCCAATCCCCGACCCCTTTGACAGCTGCCAGTCTGTTTTATGTATCAATGAGTCTGTTTCTATTTTGTTCATTAGATTCCACATATAAGTGAAAACATATGGTCTTTGTCTTTCTCTGACTGGCTTATTTCACTTAGCATAATACTCTCCAGGTCCATTTATGCTGTTGCAAAAGGTAAGATTTCCTTCTTTTTATGGCTGAGTACTATTCCATTGTATATATGTACCCCAGATTTTTTTATCCACTCATCTACTCATGGGTACTTGGGCAGCTTCCAGATCTTGGCTGTTGTAAATAATGCCACAATGAACATAGGAGTGCATATATTCTTTTGAACTGGTGTTTTGGGATTCTTAGGATATACTCTCAGAAGTAGGTTTGCTGGGTCAAAAGGCAGTTTCATTTTTAATTTTTTAAGGAAACAGCATACTGCTTCCCCCAATGGCTGCACCAATCTGCATTCTCATCAGCAGTGCACGAGGGTTCCCTTTTTTCCACATCCGTGCCACTACTGTTGTTTGTTCATTTATTGATGATAGCCACTCTGACAGGCATGAGGTGATATCTGATTGTGGTTTTGATCTGCATTTCTCTGATGATTAGTGATGTTGAACATCTTTTCATATTTCTATGAAAAACGACACTAGTTAACAAAATTATACAAGTTTCTACAACAAATCATCTATACACTGTATAGTGTGTTCACCTTTCCAAGTCAAGTCTCCATCCATCACCATTTATTTTCCCTATACCCTCCTCCACCTCTCCACACCTCTCTACCTCCCACCCCCGACATTTTAGTGATGTTAATTCTTCCTATTCATGGACACAGTATATGCTTCCACTTATCTGTATCTTCTTCAATTTCTTTCTTCAGTGTCTTATAATTTTCTGACTACGGGTCTTTTACATCCTTGGTTAAATCTATTCCTAGATTTGTTTGTTTTTTGGATGCAATTTTAAATGGGATTGTTTTCTTAGTTTCCCTTTCTGATAGTTCATCATCAGTGTACAAAAATGCAACCTATTTCTGGATATTTATTTTGTATGCTGCTACTTTACAGCATTCATTTATCAGTTCTAATTGTTTTTTGGTGGAATATTTAGGGTTCTCTATATACAATATCATGTCATCTGCAAATAGTGATAGTTTTATTTCTTCTTTACCAATTTGGATGCCTTTTATTTCTTTTGTCTGATTGTTGTGGCTAGGACTTCCAGTACCATGTTGAATAAGAGTGGTGAAAGTGGGCATCCCGGTCTTGTTCCTGATTTTAAGAGAAACACGTTTAGTTTTTACCCACTGGGTATGATGTTGGCTGTGGGTTTGTCATATATGGCCTTTATTATGTTGAGATATATTCCCTCTATTCCCACTTTGCTGGGAATTTTTATCATAAATGAGTGTTGGATTTTACCAAATGCTTTTTCTGCATCTATTGATATGATTATGTGATTTTTATCCTTCATTTTGTTTATGTGGTGTATCACGTTTATTGAATTGCAGATATTTTACCAACTTTGCATCCCTGGAATAAATCTCACTTGATCATAGTGTATGATCTTTTTAATGTATTACAGGATCTGGTTTGCTAATATTTTGTTGAGAACTTTGGCATCTATGTTCATCAGGGATATTGCCCTATACTTTTCTTTCTTTGTGGTGTCTTTATCTGGTTTTAGAATTAGGAAAATGCTAGCCTCCTAAAATGAGTTTGTGAGTCTTCCCTCCACTTGAAGTTTTTGAAATAGTTTGAGGATAGGTGTTAGCTCTTCTTCTTCTTTTTTTTTTCATTTATTGAATTTATTTAGGTGACATTGGTTAACAAAATTATACAGGTTTCAGGTGCATTCCACAACACATCATCTATGCACTGTATTGTGTATTCACCACCTCAAGTCAAGTCTCCATCCTTCACCATTTATTCTCCATATACTCTCCTCCAACTCCCCCAATCTCTTTATCCCCCAGCAAGCAACACACTGTTGTCAATGTCCATAAGTTTTTTCCTCTCTTTTGTTTTTTTGAATGTTTGATAAAATTCACACATGAAGTCATCTGGTCCAGGACTTTTGTTTGTTGGGAGATTTTTGATTACTGCTTCAATTCATTAATCGTACGTTTTCTATTCAGATTTTCTGATTCTTCCTGAATTGTTTTTGGAAGATTGTATGCTGCTAGGAATTTACCCATTTTGTTCAGATTGTCCAATTTGTTGGTATATAGTTGTTCGTAATATTTTCTTACGATCCTTTGTATTTCGTTGGTGTCAGTTGTTACTTCTCCTCTTTTATTTTAATTTTATTTATTTGGCTCCTCTCTCTTTTCTTGATGACTCTGGTTAAAAGTTTGTTAATCTTACTTATCTTTTCAAAGAACTAGCTGTTTGATTTGGTTTCATTGATCTTTTGTATTGTTTTATTAGACTATTTTGTTTATTTCTGCTCTGATTTTTATTACCTACTTTCTTCTACTCACCTTGGGCTTTGTTCTTTTTCTAGTCCCTTTAAGTGTAATGTTAGATTGTTTATTTGATATTTTTCTTATTTATTTATTTATTTATTTATTTATTTATTTATTTATTTTTTGTTAATCCTCACCTGAGGATATTTTTTCATTGATTTTTAGGTAGAGTGGAAGGGAGGGAGGGAGCGGGGGAGAGAGAGAAACATTGATGTGAGACAGACACATTGATTAGTTGTCTCCTGCACAACTCCAACCAGGGTCGGGGATCAAACCTGCAACCCAGGTATGTGCCCTTGACTGGGAATTGAACCCATGACCTTTCAGTTCATGGGCTGATGCTCTAACCACTGAGGAAAATAAGCCAGGGCTGTATTTTTTTAGTTAGGCATGTACAGCTATGAATTTCCCTCTTAGGACTACTTTTGCTGTGTCCCATATGTTTTGGGTTGTATTCTCATTTTCATTTGTTTCAAGGTATCTTTTCTTCCTTGATCTCATTGTTAACCCATTTATTGTTTAGTAACATGTTATTTAACATTTATGTCTTTGTGTGCTTTTCAGTCTTTTTTCTTCTGATTGATTTCTGCTTTCATATGATTATGGTCAGAGATACTTGATATGATTTCAGTCTTCTTAAATTTATTGAGATTTATTTTATGTCCTAACATGTGGTCTATCCTAGAAATGTCCAATGTGCACCTGAAAAGAATGTATATTCTGCTGCTTTGGGGTGAGATGCTCTGAAAATATTAATTAAATCCATCTGGTCTAGTGTGTCATTTAAGGCTGCTGTTTTATTGTTGATTTCCTGTCTGAAAGTTCTGTCCATTGATGTCAACAGGGTGTTAAAATCTCCTATTATGACTGTATTACTGTTGTTCTCTCCCTTTATGTCCATCAAGATTTGCTTTATGTATTTAGGTGCTCCTATTTTGGGTGCATAAATGTTAACAAGGGTTATATCCTGTTGTTGGATTGATCCTTTTATCATCAAGTGTCCTTCTTTGTCTCTCAGTATAGCCTGTGTTTTAAAGTCTATTTTGTCAGATATAACTATCGCTACCCCAACTTTTTTTCATTTCCATTTGCATAAAATATCTTTTTTTATGATCATTTTTTCAACTTTATTGAGGTATAATGGACAATATTTTAAGATATTAAAATATACAATGAGATGATTTTATATATATATATACATTAATTTAATGATCTTTTATTTTATTTTTTAGTTTTTTTTCACTTTCTTTGTTTTTTTGTACTTCTTTTTTTATTAATTTATTTTTGTTACAGATGTTTCTCCTTTTTCCCCACTTTGACTTCCTCCTACCTATCCCCTTCCACCCTGTCCCCAGTTTTGTTGTCTATGTCCATTGGTTATGCATATATGCATATAAGTTCTGTGGTTTATCTTTTCCCTCCCTGCCCTCCTCCCTTCTGAAGAATGTCAGTCTGTACCCTACTTCTATGTCTCTGGGTCTATTTTGTTCATCAGTTTGTTTAGTTCATTATATTCCAGAAATAAGTCAGATCATGTGATATTTGTCTTTCGCTGCTTGTCTTGTTTCGCTTAGGATAATACTTTCAAGGTCCCTCCATGTCGTCTCAAAGGATAAGAGATCTTTCTTTCTTACAGCTGCATAGTACTCCATTGTGTATATGTACCACCAGTTTTTTATCCATTCGTCTACTGATGGGCACTTGGGCTGTTTCCAGATCTTAGCTATTGTAAATAGTGCTGCTATGAACATAGGGGTACATATATTCTTTCTGATTGATGTTACAAGCTTCTTAGGATCACTGGGTCAAATGGAAGTTCAATTTTTAATTTTTTGAGGTAACACCATAGTGTTTTCCACAGTGGATGCACCAGTCTTCATTCCCACCAGCAGTGTACTAGGGTCCCCTTTTCTCTACACCCTCACCAACACTTGTTGTTTGATAATTTGTTGATGGCAGCCATTCTGATACCTCATTGTTATTTTAATTTGCATCTCTCTGATGATTAGTGACATTGAGCATTTTTTCATATGTCTCTTGGCCATTTGTATGTCCTGTTTGGAGAGGTGTCTTTTTAGGTCCTCTGCCCATTTTTTAATTCGGTTCTTTGTCTTCCTTTTTTTGAGTTGTATGAGTACTCTATATATTTTGGAAATTAACCCCTTATCTGATATATCATTGGCAATTATGCTCTCCCATAGAGTGGGTTGCCTTTCCATTTTGATGGTTGTTTCTTTTGCTGTGCAGCAGCTTTTCATTTTGATGTAATCCCATGTGTTCATTTTTTCCTTTGTTTCTGTTGCCTTAGGTGATGTATCAGTGAAAATTCTGCTGTGTATGATGTCTGAAATTTTGTTGCCTACATTTTCTTCTAGGATTTTTATGGATTCATGAGTCACATTTAAGACTTTTATCCATTTTGAGTTTATTCTTGTGTATGGTGTAAGTTGGTGGTCTAGTTTAAATTTTTTTTGCATGTAGTTGTCCAATTTTCCCAACACCATTTATTAAAGAGGCTGTCTTTACTCCACTGTATGCTCTTGCCACCTTTGTCAAATATTAATTGAGCATATTGTCTTGGGTCAATTTCTGGGTTTTCTATTCTGTTCCATTGATCTATGTGCCTGTTCTTGT